GTATGCACATTTCGCAGCTAATGTACCTCTAATGTACTTGTAGTATAATGTGCCCTCCCGAAAACCCTATGCTGGCTGCTGGGGCCCTTTTCTTGGTAGCCTCTAAGTTACTTACAGGACAATGTGCACACCCCAAAAAACACTGTGCTAGCCATTCCTGTGTTTGGACTCTTCCTCAGCCTTGTCCTTTTGACGACAGGCTGCTGGAGGCTCTCAGCAGAACAGTTCCCGAGGACCGACCCTGGCTTTGAATCCCGCACGCTAAACTTGGGGGTACTTAGAAATAGTTGTTATTTTTTGGTTACTCTCATCTCTAAGAAACAGCTAAAACCATAATTTTTGCTAGGGTTCTAAGTTCAGTATAGTAGTAAACCTTAGATAGTGAACAGGGGAACTTTACGCGGCCTTCTACATTAGCTCTATCTTAGAAGGTTTGAACTTTTTGGGGCCCGGTTGTTGAAGAAGAGAGAACAAGCCTGACACCCTGCAAGGTCCATGTGATCTGAAGATTAGACCCTGATAGCCCTAAAGCCCTAAGCCCCAAACCCCAAATCCTAAACCTAAACCCTAAACCCTAAAACCCTAGCCCTAATTCCTGGACCTCTGAACACCTTACAAAAAAACTCCAGAAAGTTGGAAAAGGGTTTCATGGTAGGATACCCTATAATTTACCATAGCAGGGTTAGGATAATCATATTCCAACTTTCTGGCTTTTGCCGTAGCCTCAACCCCAAAAGCGCCTCGGCGCCGTAGATCCGGTGGCTCCCTGAAGCCGAAGCTTGACTAAACCCTAAACCCTAAACACTAAACCCTAAACCCTAAACTCAAACCCTAAACCCTAAACCCCAAACCCCAGGTTCCCCAGTCGAAGTATCCATTTGCTCTGGTGTTTTTTTTTGAAGGTTCCCTATTAAAACTGAATACCAGGAGAAAGGGTAGGTCTATAATTAAGAGGGTTCCCCCTGTATAACCCTTTTGCCCGTCAAATCTCGGGTTTTAGGGCTTTAGGGTTTAGAGACTTTTGGGTGCCCTATGAACATTGAAGAGGAAAACGGTGTACCTGGTATTGTTAAGGGGGCACTGAGGAACCTAGCACTGGTGGCAGCTTGATTCGCGAACCCTAGGGCTCGAAGTGCAGGGTTGAGGGTGTACCATGTATCGTTTAGGGTTCAGGGTTTACCGCGTGGGGTTTAGGGTTCAGGGTTTATCATTTAGTAGGACTGAGGATGCAGGAACCCCAAGCCGCAAAATACAGCGTTGACTTAAGTCTTGCTTCCTGGGGTCGTGCATACCTTGTACAAGCCTTCCCCTAAACCCTAAACCAGATGCTTGTGCAACGTCGGTACAAGTCAGCGACACTTGCAACGAACCAGCTTGCGGGTCCTCGCAGTTGCATGGTGGAGAGCATGATTATGTATATGTATACATATATATATATATACATATATTCACCGACTATATACATGAAAGTATACTCTAGTATATGTGTAATATGCATATGTACAAATATGAACTGCGTTCTTTCAACACTAAGCCCTGAACCTGAGTGGAGTGACCTCGGAGCCTGAACCCCAAAGGCCTCTGTCCCGTCAGCTGACACAGGTAGATCTTTCTTACAGGATGGAAACCCTTTCGCATCCTTGGGCTCAATGTTTGCGTCGGTTCATAGAAGTTGTTCCGTTGAGAGTTCCTGATTGCACTAGAGCTACACAGTGGGTGAAGGCTTGAAGTAGAGCGCTTCAAGAAGGCATATCATATTCGGACTCCTGCTGGGTGCAATGTTAAGGGAGAATCGAACCTGGGACCCCCATGCGCGAGCCGCAACAATCTGCAACTCTTCTCGTAGAGCCTTTGCTTGACTTCTAAGACATTCCACATGCCGATCGATTTTGGAGGAAGGCCCAAAGGTGCAGAAACCCGCTCAGCTGTGACAAGTCATGACTATGTCACTATGTCCATTTGTACATCCGTGCATACATGCATGCATGCATACATGCATACATGCACACATATGTATGTAAGTACATATATATATATATACACATACACATACACACACGTACATACATCTATCACGTCGAGGCATCGCTCGTTTGAGGATCTTCCTTTGCACAGTTTTTCGTTTCTTGGTGCTGATAGTTGAAGGACATACCCATATCATCATTTCCAGAGAACGTGGGCTCTGATAAATCAAACGTGCTGTATCCGGCAATAACACCGCTAAGAAATTTGGGACGTTTTCATGATTCTTGCTGTTTCCTGCCCTTCGGGGGGGAGGGGGGGGAGTGTCCGGAATGTCTCAATTATAAACCTTTGCCGATAGCCACGGTGTGTGAAGATCTGATTTGGAATTGCCTTGGCCCGACTCTTTGCTGTAGCATCGTTTTTTTGGCAAACTTACGTCAATCTACTTACTACCTACAAGACTCGGCCATCCATACATTGCCATGAAGTCTCCGATGTTTTTGGTGGGGGTCTAAGTCAGGGTCATAAGCCATGCCTTGGGTACGGCCCCCCCTCAGTAACAGTTGTATAATCTTCATAGTATAGATATATAAGAACCTTAATCGTAGCCCTATGATGGACTCTTACCGTATGGGGGCCGTACCCAAGCCATGCCCACCAAGCCTAGCAGCTTGGGCATGGCGGGGGCGGCGAGCAGCAGAAGTCAAGACTGGCAGCTTGCAGTTCACATGGCGCAGAAGGTGCCAGGAAGTGGGAACGAGAAAGCTTTCTGGGAAGCGATCGTTTCCTGCGGAAGAGCCAGGCAGTGGAATATGGCCCTCCAGCTGTTGTCGAGCATGTTGTCGAGCAGCGCAACTCCACATGTTTACAGCTTCAATGCCGCGATAACGGCGTGCGGACGTGGATTCAAGTGGCAGTATGCGCTGGCACTGTTGATGCAAATGGGCTCAGCCCAATCTCCGCCAAATGTAGTTAGCTACAGTGCCGGCATTAGTGCCTGTGAGAAAGGTTGCGAGTGGCAGATGGCGTTGTCGTTGCTGTCGCAGATGCCGGCAGCTAGAGTCGTGCCGAACGAGATCAGTTACAGTGCAGGCATCAGTGCCTGTGAGAAAGGTGGCGAGTGGCAGATGGCGTTGTGCTTGTTGTCGCTGATGCCGGCAGCCAGAGTTGTGCAGGATGAGATCAGTTTCAATGCAGGCATCAGTGCCTGTGAGAAAGGTGGCGAGTGGCAGATGGCGTTGTCTCTTCTGTCGCAGATGCCGGCAGCCAGAGTTGTGCCGAATGAGATCAGTTTCAATGCAGGCGTCAGTGCCTGTGAGAAAGGTGGTGAGTGGCAGATGGCGTTGTGCTTGTTGTCGCTGATGCCGGCAGCCAGAGTTGTGCAGGATGAGATCAGTTTCAATGCAGGCATCAGTGCCTGTGAGAAAGGTGGTGAGTGGCAGATGGCGTTGTGCTTGTTGTCGCTGATGCCGGCAGCCGCGGTTGTCCCAGATCGGATCAGCTATAGTGCAGGCATCAGTGCCTGTGAGAAAGGTGGCGAGTGGCAGATGGCGTTGTCTCTTCTTTCGCAGATGCCGGCAGCCAGAGTTGTGCCGAATGAGATCAGCTACAGTGCAGGCATCAGTGCCTGTGAGAAAGGTGGCGAGTGGCAGATGGCGTTGTCTCTTCTGTCGCAGATGCCGGCAGCCAGAGTTGTGCAGGATGAGATCAGTTTCAATGCAGGCATCAGTGCCTGTGAGAAAGGTGGCGAGTGGCAGATGGCGTTGTCTCTTCTGTCGCAGATGCCGGCAGCCAGAGTTGTGCAGGATGAGATCAGTTTCAATGCAGGCATCAGTGCCTGTGAGAAAGGTGGCGAGTGGCAGATGGCGTTGTGCTTGTTGTCGCTGATGCCGGCAGCCGCGGTTGTCCCAGATCGGATCAGCTATAGTGCAGGCATCAGTGCCTGTGAGAAAGGTGGCGAGTGGCAGATGGCGTTGTGGTTGCTGTCGCAGATGCCGGCAGCTAGAGTTGTGCCGAACGAGATCAGTTACAGTGCAGGCATCAGTGCCTGTGAGAAAGGTGGCGAGTGGCAGATGGCGTTGTCTCTTCTGTCGCAGATGCCGGCAGCCAGAGTTGTGCAGGATGAGATCAGTTTCAATGCAGGCATCAGTGCCTGTGAGAAAGGTGGCGAGTGGCAGATGGCGTTGTCTCTTCTGTCGCAGATGCCGGCAGCCAGAGTTGTGCCGAATGAGATCAGTTTCAATGCAGGCGTCAGTGCCTGTGAGAAAGGTGGTGAGTGGCAGATGGCGTTGTGCTTGTTGTCGCTGATGCCGGCAGCCAGAGTTGTGCAGGATGAGATCAGTTTCAATGCAGGCATCAGTGCCTGTGAGAAAGGTGGCGAGTGGCAGATGGCGTTGTCTCTTCTGTCGCAGATGCCGGCAGCCAGAGTCGTGCAGGATGAGATCAGTTTCAATGCAGGCATCAGTGCCTGTGAGAAAGGTGGCGAGTGGCAGATGGCGTTGTGCTTGTTGTCGCTGATGCCGGCAGCCGCGGTTGTCCCAGATCGGATCAGCTATAGTGCAGGCATCAGTGCCTGTGAGAAAGGTGGCGAGTGGCAGATGGCGTTGTCTCTTCTGTCGCAAATGCCGGCAGCCAGAGTTGTGCAGGATGAGATCAGTTTCAATGCAGGCATCAGTGCCTGTGAGAAAGGTGGTGAGTGGCAGATGGCGTTGTGCTTGTTGTCGCTGATGCCGGCAGCCGCGGTTGTCCCAGATCGGATCAGCTATAGTGCAGGCATCAGTGCCTGTGAGAAAGGTGGCGAGTGGCAGATGGCGTTGTGGTTGCTGTCGCAGATGCCGGCAGCCAGAGTTCTGCCGAATGAGATCAGCTACAGTGCAGGCATCAAATCCTGTGGTGCAGCCCGCATCTGGCAGCTGGCCTTGTACCTTTTTGCCTCGATAAGAGGTAACCAGCTACAGCTGGATACATCTACATATGGGCAAGCAATAGATGCAGCTTTGCCCGAGGCGGTCAGTTTCGAGCTTTTTGATCAAGCCATGCGGGACCAGATGTGGCCAGGCATGTTGAAGAGAGGTGGAGCTTGGCTTGATGTGCATGACCACTCCTGTGGTTCAGCGATGCTTGCGGTGTCGTGGTGGCTTGCGGAGGTTGTCCCGAAGCAGCTTGCCAGCACGCCGAGAAATGGATCGATATCGTTCGAGGTCATCACAGGCTGGGGGAAATCCCGCATGCCCTGGCAAACTGCTGGCTCCGACCTCCAGGTTTCAGTGCACAGACTCTTGGATGCACGCGCTATTCCGTGCAAGATCCATCCTCAGAATCGTGGGCGTTTACAGCTCGATCTTCGAGGAATCGACCTGGGCCAGCTTCGTGCGATGTACTCATCCTCGTCTCAGTGCTGTCAGGGATTGGATCGGGCCGGCGCTGACAATCGTGGGAAAAGATACTTCAGCTATACCTCTAAACTGGAAATGAGCTGTGTAGGGGGCTTTCAAGAAACGACCTGCAGTCGCCGCTGTTGCTCGACTCAGAGACTCCAATATCCCTCAATTACGGATATTCTTTAAATCATATCAGGGATCCTACGATAATTGAAGGTATATTCCTTAATTAAGGGATATTGAAGTGCCTAAACCCCAAACCCTGTAGATCCCTTATAGATCCCTTGAAGGAACCCTAGGTACATGCCTTAATCAAGGGATACTGGAGTCTCCGTGTACCGTTAGTCACCGTTCGATCGGCCGGGGGAAGTCAAGCCCTAGCCTTGAAACCCTTCAGGCTTAGGGTTTCGGGTCCTACATCTCACGTCGGTTGCTATTACTTGGTATTGCGTTGCTTGTCGGCTTCTCTGTAGCCCGAGCAACTTGCTCTGCCTCCTTTGCTTGCAACTCTCCAGTGTTCCTTGCAGTGCGACTCAGTCACCTACTATAGCTTCCTAAATAATTACCACGACTATTCTGCGGCCCCTTACTTTCAATGTAATATAGTGGGTCCCAAAACCCGATTCTGACTATTATGGCCCTATGTTAGGCGGATGGCAACAGAAAACTTGCATCTCGTTAGAAGCCAGCAAGCTGCAGGAGCTCCAGGCGCACCTGGCGGATATCTTGCTGATCAGTCTCTTGGACCAGTCGGTCGAGGCCCGCCAAAGCTGGGAATAAACGGGCTGGGCAGAAATTTGGGTTTGGTGGTTTGGGGCTTAGGATGCAGGAATTCAGGTGCCTTTCGGGTTAAACCCTAAACCCTGTCGAAACCCTTTGGCGGCCCAAATTCTCGGAAGAGAAGGCAAAAGCCTGGGAATCTCACGTCTCTCCGCCATGGTCCAATTCTCGCAAGATTTTGCTCAGGGTCTAGGGTTGAGGGTCAGCTTCAAAAGAGTTTAAGTTGAGGGGTGGGCTGTGATTCCCGATGAAAAGTTGTGGAGTGGCATTGCTTGTAACCCTACTGACTCGGTCGCCCGGTTTGGCAGAAGGCCCGAAGCCCCAAACCCGACGAGTTCGAGTCTGAACGTAAGCCCTACATCCTAAGGCACTGTTACCAACACCGACATCAGAAGTCAAGCCGAGCCTTCACCACGAATTCCGCAGGAGCCCTCAACGCAAAAAGCTCTAAGCACCCAAACCCGAACCCGTGCATCCCAGATTTTTGCCCTAAGCCCAAAAAATGCTAAACCTCGTAAACCCTGAGCCCTGGGCCCCGAGCTCTAAGGCCATCCCAAACCGCATAGAGCCCTAATCCCAGGCCTCCAGCCAACACAACCGAGACAGGGAGAGACAGAGAGAGAGTGAGAGGGCTTTGACCGGCCCGGGAGAGAGAGAGAGAGAGAGATGTAGGGGGTAACACCCCTGCATCACAACCCTGGCGAAAGAAAAAGAAAGAGAGAGAGAGAGAGAGAGAGAAAGAAAGAGAGAGAGAGGGGAGAAAGAAAGGGGGTTGTGCAGGGTTTTGCAGGACAATTAAACGCAACGAGACAGAGAGCGAGAGAGAGAGAGAGAGGCGCCCTCATCCTTATGCTTCAGGGTTCCTTTGAAGCAGCCCCAAAAAGGGACCATGAACGGAACCCAAAAAAGAAACCCTTAAGGATCCACAGAAGCTCCCTAAACCCGAAAGCCCAAGCCCTGTACCCAGAGGTGCGGCTGCTGGCCCTGCGTCATCTGGCGCCCATGGGCCCCGACTCCCCTCGCGTGCGCGGCGTTGCAGACCGCGCCTGGCCTACTCAAAGGGTAGCAATACTTATAAGATCTTATAAGTACATCGTTACGTATGAGCTCATTACAGGTACTTGTTGGGGTAGCTGTACTTTTCAATACTTATGACCAAAGGTCGGGTACTTGTAACCTTACTTATATTGCTTTAGGCTTTCAGGGCACTGTTGGAGTTGACGACTGGTTCAAAGGGTTAGGTGGGGTTGTGTTGCATTCCTTTGTAATCAAGGGTTTTTAAATACTTGTTTAGGATTTCGGGTTTGGGGTTTATCGATTGGTTTAGGGTTTGTATCCGGGGTGTTTAGGGCACATGGATTCAGACTTGTGGTCTCTGGAGGTTTTGCATGTGGGTTTAAATCAAACCCTATACCCTAAACCCTACTGGGTCAGTGAATAGTTGAGTTTCAATGAAGCTCCTGCTTCCAAGCAGTATTCAAGGCTGACGCTTATCGTGCCTTCGCTTTGACCGTTATGCAAGCTCTTGTAGTACCCGTTAAAGTAACCTCCTTAACTCTGATGGTAACGCTTATCATCTTTGAAAGCTTGAGGCACATGTCTGCGGTATGTCAGGAGGTCTCAGTTCTGGTTTGGACACAGATTGCACAAGGTTCAGGAAAATAGATTTTTTGCGACTTGAGGGGCGAATTGAGGCTGGGTTGTAATCACAAGTTGGAAACGGTTGAAACGAGGCACCTCCAGACCCGAAGCCTGACGTCGTTGACTGATTTCAGAAAGCTTCTCGAACGGGACAGGACGTTTATGTTTTTTCTGTGGCAGGGGGGGAGGCGCCCTCGGTTTTGCTTTGAAGGGGACCACTCGTGCTCTAAATGCGAAAGCACACCCACAACGAAAGACAGTTTTCAAACGCGGTTCCGAGGACTGCGTGACAAGCAGCCGGCGGTGAAGGAGTTGGCCGCCGAGGCACGTGTCCTTATTTGGGGTTTTGTCACAGGGCGGGCGTATGTGTGATACAGTTTGTGTGAATACAGTGTCATTACATATGTTCAGGTACATACATGCATACGTACATACATACATTCATACATATACATACATACATGTAGATGTTGGTCGCAAGGTTTTCATGGTGTTAACACGGCTTATAGCTTTGTTTTTAAATTCTTTGTAACATTGTTCTACACGCTTCATACGGTTGTGCAAATTGTTGCAAGCTTTGTGCAATGATTCTGCGGGGCCCCCAAATCCTGAATTGATAAAATCCCTCCCTCAACGATGGTTACATCCCCTAGTACACCCTTGACAATGGTTATGTACTTAGTATGATATTGATGCCAGTGCACGTTGGAAGCTTGTCCAAGAGGTATAACACTGCAGTCAGCAACATGACGTGCCGTCAAGGGTTCGGTAAACAAGAGGTTCATTTCCACCTGCAAGCGCTCCGCGGGCATCCGGTTAAGTCGAAGTCGCGCAGAGCCTCGGAACCTTCAACCCAAGATTGGCCCTTGCAAGCCCCTAACTCCCATGTAAACCGTGAGCCGTACACGCTTTACCCCGGACAGCTGCCAAGACCGAACCAAGTTTCTGGGTGAGGCTTGAAGAATAGTACTAGGAGCGGAAACGGTGTGGGATGCAGGTCCTACAGACATGGAATCGGGAGCCGCGATGTCAGCCGCGAGCGTACAACTCCAGCCGCCCAAAAAATTTTAGAGCTTTTTGGGGGCTTACAGCCCCTGCATTGCTTCTGTTATAAACACAAGTTACCAAAAAAACCTGATCCCAAAAGATCCAAGCAAAGCCACAGGGTCTGCCGTGAGCTTTGAGAGGTCCTCAGGGTTTGAGGGTTGAGGATCGTTCCGAGTTTGACGGTTTGGGTCCAGGGCTGTAGGGTTTTGGGCTTGGGGTCTGTTCAGGCTTTTGACCTTGGACTCCGCTCGATTTCAAGGGTGCGAGTTGTAGATGGAGGGTTTGGGTATTCCGAAGAGACCCGAAGCTGCAAACCATGAAGCCCCAACTGCGCCTTTGAAGCCTTGAGTTCGAGTCCGCGGAGACGGTTGCCCTGGCCTTTCCCCCGCTTACACCTCAACCGATCTTCCCCAACATCCTTTTCCCTTGTTCTTACCTTTGGTTAGTAGGGAATGGACGAATGGTAGTAATAGTAGTTATAATTGTACCTCATTCCTCCATTCCCTACTAGCCAAAGGTAAGTGTTTGGGAATGCTCTGCTCGATCTGCAGAAGCCACACGGTTTAGCAGCCCAAGACCTCTCGACTTTACACAGTCATACCCTATGCCTTGAACGTTAACAGCAAACCCTTAAACCTTATATCGCACTTCTACCCCAAACCGAGGAGGGGACAAGTACATGCTTGAAGCGGAGCTCATGGAGTTCACCACCTGACAAGGGAGCCCCGACGCAGCTCCGGTCACCTTCACCTCCCGCCCGTGTAGACCTACCCACCACCGCTACTGCAAGGACAACAACAAGGGCTATTATCATCAACGCTAGTCGTCGTCGTAGTCGTAGTAGTAGTCGTAGGAGTAGTAGTAGTCGTCGTAGTAGTGGTGGTAGTGGTGGTGGTGGTGGATGTGGTAGTGGCAGTGGCAATGGCAGTGGCAGCGGCAGTGGCACTGGGAGTGCGAGTGGGTGCGGTAGTGGTAGTGGTAGTAGTACTGCTGCTGCTACTGCTACTGCTGCCGCTACTGCTGCTGCTGCTGCTACTGCTGCTGCTATTGTTACAACAACAACTACTACTACCACTACTACTACGACGACGACTACTACTACTTTTACTACCACCGCTACTACTGCCACCACCACCACCACCACCGCCGCCGCCACCACTGCCACTACTAACGAAGTTTCGCCTTGACGCCGAAGCCTTGAACTCGCACCGATAGTACCACCATGATGACAAGGAGCCCTGTGACATAAATGGGAGTTTCCGACAATCAGGGGTACCCTGTTCTAGGTCCTTGTAATAAGGATCCAGGTATTTAGGATACTATGTTGGGGTCCCCTATTTTCGGAAACCCCCAAATTCCACATACGAAAGTCTCGAAAGAGCGGGTTGCTTCGCCTCGCGCTATGGAGCCGGAGCTGTGAAACCTTCAGCCAGTCAGCAAAGCTGCTGGTTGGGCCTAAATGTTTAGGATTTGGGGTGTGTCGGAATATAATCAGACTTGTAGGACTCCATAAAGGGAACTCCAGAAAGTTGGTATATGGTTTCAGGGTAGGATCCCCTATAATTTACCATAAAAGGTTTAGGATAATCATATTCCAACTTTCTGGCTTCTACTGTAGATGAGTGCTTTTTTGACAGTGCAGGTTTTGTGGCGTAGCAGGGCATGCGATAAGATACTGTGAGTGATGGCAAGCCGAGACGCCTCTGGCTGTACGAGCCGCCATTTAAAAGCAGTGCCGCGGAGGTGCAGGTCCTGATTGCTGAAGGGTTGAGTTACAACAGAATCCCCTTAGTCAGTCTGTCTCTTGAACTTTGGGGTTCTTTGAGTGTGCATGCAAATGTCCACACGCATGTGTCAACGCATGTCTGCCAGATAAACCTCCATCTGTGGAATGGAAACAGACATGTGTCGGTGTCTTGAGATTCGAACACGCATCTGATCACATATGTGCTACAGGTGTAGGCATTCAGGTGGTATCCCCTGTGCCGCGTTTGGGTAACAAGGTATACAGATGTAGTGGTGTGTGGCTCACCTAGGTTTCTGGCCATTGGCATTGAACTACGTATGCATAAGCACACATGTCTATATGTGCACGCATGGTCTCCCAGGCACGGCACTAGGTTATCTCCTACCTGCTGCACGAGCCAAGCATGCATGCAGATGGATGCACAATGTACGGAGAGTTACATCAATGGATGCACGAGCCGGTGTGCATACGTAACAACATGTATGCGAAGAACATGCATGGACACCTGCAGGATCCTGCAGGTAAGAACGTCTTCCAAGATGTTCGTCTAGACATGTACCTGCCGAGTATGACCTCACAAACAAGTAACAACCAACCCAAAGCCACAAACATACACTTCATCTCTCACCCTCGCTCTCACTCCCATGCTCGTCCTCATCCTCACCCTCCCTCACTCTGATGCTAAACTTCTTTCATCTCACTCTCGCTCTCATGCTCACTCTCACTTGCCGCATTCACACTTACGCACACGCTGTTTCACATCCACACTCACATTCACACAAATACGTACACACGCCGGCACAACTGGACATGTGCGCACTTACATGTATCCGTGCAGGTGTAGTTGCATGTCGACCTAGATCCTTCGAATCCTCGGTAGCCGCATGCGACATCACTCTTGAAGCTTGCCGCAGCCGGTTTTGTATTCAGCATTACTTGGGGTAATTCCATTTAGGGCACTTATAACTCTACTCATAACCTACTTGCTAAGTCCCCTGCCCTTCCAAGTAAGTGCCGCTGGGACCTCTCCGGCGCCGTTTCACCGTGTGCTAGCCGGGGCCATCCGCAGAGTAAGGTTACGACACTCTTCGGGAAACTCTGAACCCTAAGCCCTAAAGATCCCTTAAAGGAACCCCTACTTGGAGGGTCGGGGGACTTAGTAAGTAGTAAGTAGACCTATAAGTACTCGTACCCTAAAAGGGACCCTAATTGGGGTTATGGTACTTATAAGTCCTTAAAATAACCAGTTACTAAGTCCCCCGACCATCCCAGTATATTACCCCTTTAAAGGAACCCTTATTAGGGTCCAAACTGCTCCGCAAGCAGACATGTTGTCCATGAGGGCAGGAGCCCCACCCAACCTGACATGGAACCCTATAGTTTAGCTTTGGGGTTTAGGGCTGGGTTTGGGGCTACACCAACATTCCGAAATGCAATCGTCGCAAACTGTGCCTCCTCTGACTAGAATTTTCTCGGCATGGCTGCATTCTCTCCAAGCATTGCCACCCGAAGCGGTACAGGGTCGGAGCTTAGTGGACCCAAACCCAAAGATAATGTCTAATGCCTGAGCCCACAACAACCCTGCAAAGCAACCCGACGACCCTGACTCCATAAGCCGTGGCTCCTACACCCTACAACCAACATTGTTGTCCGTAAGCTCTAAGCTTTAAGACGCTTCAAGGGTTTAGGGTTTGGGGGAGGGTTTGGGACGCCCGAAAAAAGGCTGACCCTGCTCTTCACAGAAAAAAGTGCGCAGGTTGAGGCGAAGCCTCGCAGACCTGCAAGCCGTCGAGCCCTCGCTCGTCCAAAATCCCGGGGTCGGAAGAAGTGGGAAGCGCATTCCGTATTCCCTGAACGTCCCTCTATAACTATATCAGAGGTTACACCAAAACCTTATTCTAGACTCTAGATGTTTTTGCATCTTTTGAAGGGGGTTCTTGCCTTTCGGCTTTTTTTCGGAAGTGCAGGACATGTGCTCGCCGGAGCACTTCTGTTCTCCTTCTTCTCGTTTGGCGTCAGGGTTTTCGCTGACCACCAAGTGTCGTAGCAGAACCTTGAGTTTGGCTGGCTTTGTACTGACTGCAGACTCGGCACTGAAAACCCTAACGTATGTGGGTTTTGAGGTTTCCGGGTTCGAGTTTTAGATCCTAGGCCCGGCGTTTGCAGCTTGGCTGAAGGGATTCAGGGGCAGTCCCTATAAAATATTAGTAATTTTGTTTATTAATTCATTTTCAATAAAAAAATTAATTAAAAGATATCTTCCTGCTCACAGAAGATCCTAAGCCTTCCCGTGCTTGGTAGTGAGCCGAACCCGCAAAGCCCGGCAGGGCCCAAGGAGGCTGAAACCTTTTCCAGGAGCCCTGGGACCCTGAACCGCCCCCCAGAGACTCCAATATCACTTGATTAAGGCATGTACCTAGGGTTCCTTTAAGGGATCTATAAGGGATCTATAGGGTTTGGGGTTTAGGCACTTCAATACCCTTTAATTAGGGAATATACCTTAAGTTATAGTAGGATCCCTGATATGATCTAAGGTATATTCCTCAATTACGGGATGTTGGAGTCTCTGGGCCCTCCCTCAACCCAACACTGGGCATCGACGTGGGGTAAATTTTGATATTCCTCCGAAGGTTTTTATCGAGAACTCGTTTTGTGAGCAGATTTTGGGGACGGGCGAGACCAGGACAGCCTTGAAACTCAACCGAAACCGAAGCCCCAGAAACCTTGAACCTAAAAAAACAAAACGACTGTGCCCGAACACCGAAGCCTTGCACGAAGCACTAGGCCCTAAGCCCAAACCTGAAACCCAGCCCGTTTCTGCAAGAAACCACCCAAACCCCAAACCCTAACCCACCCTGCAATGCGGGCATCGTCCTTGCTTGGTAGGAGGGAAAAAAACCTACCCGAAACCCTAAACCCTAAGCCCCTAAGCCCTAAACCCAAAACCCAACCGACCGAAGCACCGGAAGCGGTGGCCGAGCCATGGGCGGCGGCAAAGGAAAGAAGGGCGGCCCCAAGGCGGTTTTTTGGCTTTTGAGGGGTTGTAGGGGATTTGGGTTCAGGGTTCCTTTGATGGTTCCTTCAGAGGTTAGGGTGTAGGGTGAAGGTTTGAGGCGTTTGGCTTCAGGAGTCTCCGGGTTGCAGGGTTGTGGGTTCCTGGGTCTGGGTTTTGATTAGTTTAGGGCTTAGGGCTGTTGCTGGGCTTTGGGTTTGTAGGGTTTCTTTTTCAAGGCCGCCTCATTTACTGACTTTTTTGGGCCGTGAAAGAGCCTGATACTATTACTCGGGGGTCCTTATCATAAAAGGTCTCGAGGACCCCAAAACTCTGTTCTTAGCTGAACGATCCTGAGATGCACAAGCTTGCTCGTCGCAGACTTCTTTCGGCAGTCTGAAAGCCCCTTTATCAAACATTGGAAGTTTTGGAAAGTGACGCAGCCTTTGTCATCTAATTGCGGCAATCCTGGAACGTTGTCAACCGTTTTGTTTTTATTGTTCTTGGATATCACAGTGGCCCAGATGCTGTGATACACATTTGGATTCTCAATGCGTGGCGTGTCTTCCTTCACTTTGCCCTCTGCCATCTTCACACGATACCTTTGTTTCTCATGTTACATACGGGCAGACAGGTGCAGTGACTCACTTCTTAGTCTTTCCCTTCCGGGTCCGAAAAACTCCCCCTGTGGCCGCAAACGACGACCAGCACTGTAACATGCTAGTTCTCCGATGGCTACGTCCACTGCCAGTACGTGTAGGGTAGCACAGATACTGATTGCAGCCCCAAGCGACCCGAGCCCAAACTCGAAATCGCCAAACCAAGCCCTAAACCCTAAACCCTAAATGCTTCCTGAGAGGGCGGCTTCGGCTGGGGCGCAAAGGGAGGATGCAGTGCGAAGGACGCGGTGAAGCTCTCTTGAAGATGTATCTGGAGTAAGACTGGCAGAAGATCTCGTGAGATCATTGTGCTACAT